GAGGGCCGGCAATGGAGGAGGGGCGTATCAAAGAGACCATCTTATCACAAGCAGAACTGGTTTGTTCCATTTTGGAGTAAGCTGTTGGGGGAAGAATCCGTTTTGTTGTGTGTTTCCTTGACTGATGAAGCCTTCTGGACTGAAGGCGAAATGTTTCAGCACAAAAAAAAAAGAAACTGTCCAGATGACCTGACTGAAATATGTTGGATTATATCCCTGGATTATTGAGCATGGACTTTGTTAGTTTCTGATAAGCTTTCTTGATCAGGCTGGTGTTGTTGCCCCAGCTGAGGTTGTCATTCAGGTGCACACCCAAGTACTTGGAGCTGGAGACCACTTCCACCGCAGATCTTCCTATGTTCGGGGGGGTGGTAGTTGTGTTTGCTCCTTCTGAAGTCCACGACCATCTCGTTTGTCTTCTTCACATTGATGTGAAGGTTGTTCTTCCTGCACCAGCTCTCCAGGTGTTCCACCTCCTGCCTGTAGCTGGACTCATCGTTGTTTGTGATGCATCCAACCACTGCTGTATCATCTGCAAAGAGTCTGCAAATAGGAACGTAGACCGACCAGGAAACAGAGAGCTTTGCCTTACAGCCCAGTTCCCTCTTCATTACAATGGGCCAGCTCAGAGTCCACAATGCTGTAGAAGCTGCAGTGGTCCATCTGTTGATCTCACACTCCATTCTTCAAAACCAGAGATACTTGAAGTCTTCCACTTGAGACAGAACCTCAGCCTTGACCCATAATCTACCCTCTGACTGAGAACCATGCCCTTAGATTTGGAGGTGTTGACTCTCATCCCAGCTGCTTCACACTCAGATGCGAACTGCTCCAGTGAGAGCTGGAGATTACAGAAGACGCCAAAAGCACCACATCATCCAAAAACAGCATAGACTGAACCCTGAGGCCACCGAACCAGACTCCCTCCACCCCCTGGCTGCATTGAGAAATTCTGTCCATATAAGTCATGAAAATAAATGGTAAATGGACTGTACTTATGTAGTGCCTTTCTATCTTATTTCAAGATACTCAAAGTGTTTTACAACACAACATGTGTCCTCATTTACCCATTCATACAGCTCTCTACTAGATCTCTACAAAGATAATTGAACAAATCATTCTAATGAGACTAATCAGTGCTTTATCACATTCATACACTGATGGGACACACATCGGCGGCAATGCGGGGCTCAGTGTCTTGCCCAGGGACACTTCGTCATGTGACTGCTGGTGGATTCAAACCCCCAACTCTTGCATTGGAGGACAACTGCCCTAACCACTCAGCCACAGCCGCCCCAACGGGTGACAACGTGTGACAACGTGTGACAACGTGTGACAACGTGTGACAACGGGTAGCCCTGGTGGAGTCCAACTCCCACCCTGAAGGGGTCTGACTTACTGCTAGCTATGCATACCAAACTCTTGCACAGCTTGTATAGGAACCGAATAGCCTGTAGCAATGGGCCCCCAATCTCATACTCACGGAACACCCCCCACAGTGTACCTCAAGGAACACGGTCAAATGCTTTCTCCAAGTTCACAAAACACATGTTGACTGGATGGGCAAACTCCCATGACCCCTTGAGGACCACAGTGAGGGTCAAGTGCTGATACAGTGTTCCACGTCTAGGATGGATTGTTCTTCCTGGATCTAAGGTTCAACCAATGATCTGGCTTGCTTCTCCAATCCCCCTCAATAGACCTTACCAGGGAGGCTAAGGAGAGTGATGCCCCTTTAATTGGAGCTCAACTTCCGGTCCTCCTTTTTGAAGAGGTGTCCGCCAATCCAGTGGCACTGCCCCTGATGATCAGTAAATTTGACTTTAACCTCCCAGGGCTGTGTGCTGAGCCCCCTCCTGTTCACTCTGCTGACATAGGACTGCTCAGCTAGACACCCCAGCTGCCATATAGGGAAGTTTGCGGACAACACAGCAGTAGTGGGATGCATCATAAGCAATGAGTAGTCCAAATATAGAGAGGAGGTGGAACACCTGGTGCAGGGATGCAGAGACAATAATATCTGCATCAATGTGAAGAAGACCAAGAAGATGGTGGTGGATTTCAGAAGGGACAAGGATAATTTTCATCCCCTACACATCAGAGAAGCAGCTGTGGAGGTTGTTTCCTGCTACAGGTACCTGGGGGTGCATGTATCCAGTGACCTCACCTGGAGAACCAACACTTCCTGTCTGTTCAAGAAGGCCCACCAGCATCTATACTTCCTCAGGAAGCTGCGGAGAGCTGGACTTGGGAGCGCTGCCTGAGTTTCTATTGCTGTGTAGTGGAGAGCGTTCTCTGCACTTGCATCACCGTGTGGCACGGCAGCTGCACTGCTGCTGAGAGGATGCTCTGCAGAGGGTGGTTAAGGCTGCACAGAAGACTGTGGGGAGCAACCTTCCTACCACCTTGGATCTCTACACATCACGATGTAGGGGGAGGGCGCTCTGCATCATGAAGGACTCCACTCATCCTGCACACAGTCTGTTCCAGCCCCTCCCCT